AAAACTTAATAGTAGGTCCTTTTTTTACTTTTAATAATTAGAAAATATTCCTCTTTAGTTGGGAATAATTTGTCACATTTTTAAATTCTTTGATAAATTGCTTAAGGAAATTATTTCACTTAAATTACCAAATTTATAGTTGAATTGTTCATCTTAATAGAGTATGTATGTATGTATTTTTTTTTTTTGTGTGTGTGTGTGTGTGTGTATGTATGTATTGATTGAGATAGGGTCTCATATGTAGTTAAGGCTGGCCTTGAACTCACTATGCAGCCCAAATGGCCATGAATTTGTGGTGATCCTCCTGCCTCAGCCTTCCAAGTGCTAGGATTACAGGCACACACAACCATGCCTGGCTCATTATTATTTATTTACTGTCAATAGAATTCTGATTTTTAGTTATTGTGTTTTCTTCTTTTCTTGACTGGTCATAGTACGGATTTATTAATCTTATTCATCTTTTCAAAGAATCAACTTTTGGCTTTGCCGAATCACTGTGTACTTTCTATTTTATTTCTGTTCTTTATTATTTTTTTCTTTCTACTTTGTATACTTTGTTTTGGGGTTGCATTTTCTGCTAACTCTTTGATAATTGTTTACATTTAGCTCTATTCCGCTTGAAGCTGTAGTTTTAACAAAATGGAATTTAGACCACGCTACCCACCAACCCCACATTGTCCAACTACAGAAACTAGGATTTTATGTGTTCCACAGATCATAATAAACCTCAGACCATAAAACACCATAAATGCCTTTTTTTTGTTACTGGAGGTCGAAATCAGGACCTTGTGCTTGTGAGGCAGGTGCGGTGCCACTGAGCCAAATCCCTGGCCTGTCTTATCTTTTAATATCATCAAAAGCATGATACAATCCTATGTTTCTAAAAAAAAAGTACTTCTGTAAATATTTAAAAACCCAGTAGGCCAAAAATAATGAAAATGAGTAACATATCAAGTTATCTCTCATGACCTCCTAATTTAAATCAAAAAGAGAAGATGAAAAGTACCATTGGTAAAGCATCCTCGCTTTCCGCCGTCCCCAAGTATAGAAGGCACGATTGAAAACTGCAGTTTGCCATCTTATGTGAAAAGGGGAGATGCTCAATCCATTGTTTTCCAGCCAGTCTTCATAAGAATGCTTAAAATAGACAGATGACTAAAACAAAAAGAAAAGTTTCACATCACTCAATTTTGAAGAACAATTTATAATGTACAAGGGAATAAAAAAGTATTTTCTACAAGAAAACAAGATGCTGATTACTCAAATGCTTATAACCTTAAAATTTATTTTTCAGAGTATTAGAAGTCTCAACTAGCTGGGGTGCTCAGGTTAGGGTGTGGCAAACGTAGACCACAGGACAAATCTAGTTTACAGCCGTTTTCATATATTTTGTGACTAAGAAGAGCTTCTACATATTTATGAGATTATTAAAAAAAGACAACAGCCTGGTGTAGTGGTGCATGACTGTAATCCCAGCACTCAGGAGGCTGAAGCACGAGGATCGATGTGAGTTTGAGACCAGCCTAGGCTACTTAGTGAATTCAAAGTCAGCCTGAACTACATAGTGAGGCCCTCTCTCAAAATAAAAAAAGACAATAATAAACAAGAATATGCAACAGAAATCTCATGATTCAAAAAGCCTAAAACTCTATCTAGTCTTTTACAAAACTAGTTTCTTGTCTTCTGCTTACAACGGTGTTGTCTAATACAATTATGTGAGCCACAAAAGCAAGGTACATATGTAATTTTAAATTGACTGGTAGCCAAATTTTTTTTCCAGTACCAGGGCTTGAACTCAGGACCTTACACTTGCCAGGCAGGTGTGGCACCACTCTAATAGCCAAATTTTAAAAAGCAAACTAAAGATTCATTTTCACATATTTTGACTCAAAACACCCAATGTATCATTTCAACATATAATCAATATAAAGTTATTTAAATACATTTTTGGGGTATTCTTTGAAATCTGGACTCAACTTTACACTTAGAGCACGTCTTTATTCAGACTAGCTCCATTTCAAATGCTCAATAACCACATGTAGTCAGTAACTACTGTGTTGGACAGCTGTCACAGAAAGGAAAGAGGTCTTATGTTCTAATTTTAAAAGGCCTACAGTCAATTCAACAGAAGAGACAAGTTAGCTGGAATCAGTGCTTTCTTCTGAGGAAGCCCTAAGTTACACCAACTTTGATCAAGTAAAAGGATAAAATTTACCTAAAGCCATTTTGGTCTTAGTAAAAATCTAATTTCCCCAGGGTTGTGGGAGCTGCTTATATACTATAGTCAAAGAGTTTTATCTTTAGGGAAGTATTAAGTCCTTGACTAATGTAGTATGTGGATAATATAAGGCTGTTAAATATCTGACAATTATATAAGTGCTGTAAATATTGTCATAAATGATGTCTATTTATGTGAGAAACTTATTTGTCCTAGGAGGCTATACTAGGCCTATCAGTCATTTAAAAAATGGCCAGAGTCTGAATATAGGTATTTCTTTGCTTTGGATCTGTAATGCTTTCAGTTCTCAGTCTTCAGGTAGCTGTTCAAATCTGTTTGGTTTTCCAAGACTTGAAAAAAAGAGTGACACATTCCTCCAGCAAGTGTCTACTGCAGAAATACTAGAAAATCAAAGAATGGAACAGCATACCAACCTAGAATCAGAGAAGTAGAAGGGACAGGCTCCTAAAATCTAAGGTATCTCTGTTCCCCGGGCAGATACTTTAAATGAGTGTTAGGTCTTTTGCTGAGGGATTAGTGGGCTCACAGGAAGCTAGGGGGTGTCACTGAAAAAGTGATATCACCTCACACACTTGACCAGAGACTGTACAAGTTTCACAGGTTATTTTTTCACATATGAAACATTAAGAAATAATATGGCTTCTCCTCACCCTCTTCAAACAACAAAATCATCTTAGGGATGTTGCTCAATAGTAGAGCACTCTAGCATGTCAGAAGCCATGGGTTCAATCCCCAGCACTGCAAAAACAACTCCCAAATGTTCTAATACCACAAACAAAATTATTGTGGCCCATACTGCCTATGACATACTAAGCATTACAGCAAGTTCTTGACATCAGTGCTCTGAAACATCAATGTGGAGAGGCATCACTTGGTAATCTTGTTAAGATGCAGATTGATTCTGTAGGTCAGAAGAAAGGCCTCAAATTCCCTCTAACAAGCTCCCAGATCATTCAAGTGCTAATAGTCCTAGAACCTCTGGTAGCACCTTTACATTCGCTGATACCACTAATGCATTCCTCTCTATAATCTCAGGAAATCCTTCCTATTAATCTCTATTTAAAGATGACAAACAAAGGTACAGGTAGTAGTTTGCCCAAGGTGACAATGGCTAGGAACTGGCAGAAGTTCCAGTGATGGTGAACCTTTTTTTTTTT